TGGCTATAATCATCAATTAAAATTTGACACAACAACTAAAGACCAGAGGAGTACAGAAGGGAGAGGAAGACACCGAAATATAACTTGGTATAACCCACCTTTTAGTAAGAACGTTGCCACTAACGTGGGAAAAAAATTTTTAGGCATCGTAAAAGAATCCTTTCCGCCAGGGCACTCACTAAGAAAGATTTTTAATAGGAACACTTTGAAAGTAAGCTATTCGTGCATGCCAAATTTAGAAAGAAAAATCGACGCCCACAATAAGTCCGCCCTCGCAAATAATTCCCAATCGCAAGAAAAATCATGCAATTGTAGAGACAAACACTCTTGCCCGTTACGTGGCAATTGCCTAATTCAAAATGTGGTCTACCAGGCCACAGTTGAAAGTCCCTTGGGAACCCAAACGTACGTCGGCCTTACTGCGAACCAATTTAAAACAAGATTTAGAAATCATACAGCTTCATTTCGACATGAGAACAAAAGGAACGCAACAGAGTTGAGCAAATATATCTGGTCCCTAAAGGATGCTGAAACGGAGTTTTCCGTGACCGGAAAATAATAGCTCGCGCCAGGCCGTAATCAAATACCACAAAGAGATGCAATCTTTGCATAGCAATCTTTGGAGTTGCCTGACGATTGCTTCGCAAGAGGCATGAAACTCAGAGTTGCAGTAAAAGTTCAAGTAACCTAAATCTTGAGGTATAATTATATATATATATATATATATATATATCATAAAAGCAATAGAGCACATTACTCTATAAAGTAATAAGCCACGTGGAATGTTGTGAAATGAGGAGAATTCCGCTCGTGATTTTCTAAGCTTTCCGAGTGTTCTCCTTACATCCTGCGTGGCTTTATTATAGAGCCCGCAAAAATGTGTTCTATTGCTTATGAGCTTCTCCATGGCTGTGACGCGATGGTCGTAGGTCCATTCGTACTTGCACACAAGATATGCTTTCAAGCTTTTCTCAAATCCTGGCCTAGATGGAAAATTTACCTCAATCAAATACCACATGGAGTGTACAATGAAATACATATTTCTGTCGGAAGCTAGATGATTTGCTAGCGTGATAAAAACGGAACCAAATTTCTCACATGGAAGTTACGTATTCTGACAAGAGATTCCCGAATTTTGAACAATCTCATGACCCTATTAGTACTATCTTTTAGTCATACTCCTGTGCACACGAATTGAGGGGAATTGAAATGCTTGAGCGAGTTTATGTTTGATGGATAGGTTAAATTCAGTTTTGTTTTTCATTCAGTCAAGGAATAACATCTTCCGAACGACAATCTCATCTTAACGCTTTGTTTCCTTTGCAGATGACGTTTCACTATGATAGCTCATTGTGGAGTGATAAGGAAAGCTTCAATGCCCATGATGGTCAAACTGGGTTGGATACTCTTGAAACCAAGCTGCCAACCTACTGGAGCACCCCATTTTCCAAGATCTGTCTTGGTATGAAGATTAACACGCAACTGAATTTCATTTCCATCGATATGCCATCGAACTCTCTTCACGCGCTCATCGCTGACGGTCAGTATCGCAATACCTCACTAGGCCGTTACACGTGGAAGAAACTTATTGGTTCACAGGCATCCTTACAGCGTAACTGTAACCTAGAAGGCTTTAACGTGTTTGGTACAAGCTTTGGCCATTCAAGAACGAGAATTGGTATCCTTGGTAACAATGAAGGGGATTGCGGAAACTGTGACTCAAGACTCGGATTCGGAACAGGTGGAGCACACGACAATTCTAATACATGCGGGAACGACGCCAAGTACGGAGGTGACAATGGAGACAAGAATACAAAAACAATGGGATACGTTCTAGTGCTATGAAATTAGACATCTATATTTATACAGGGTAGCCCCTTCGGTGTAGTAAACACTGGTATCAAAGGGGGTCCTGTCAACCGCCCATCCCATCCCTGGGGAGGACATCCATCACACAGTAATCTCGTCCGTGGGAAATTAACATGTCCTGCTCCTGACCCTGCAGGAGACGGGACCTCCATTTATTTGTCCCTATCCGAGAAGACTAGAATATCTAATCATTTCTTGATGTTATAGAAAGGTAGCATATTATTCTCAATTATTTTAAATCCTGAGTGTTGGTCCGGCCCGGGCTCGAACCCTCGACCACCCGCACAACAGTCCAGTGCTCTACCAAGCGCTCTACCAGCGCTCTACCAAATTCGTTGGGAATGTGACATTATTCTTAATAGATAGCCCACGAGAGGTAGATTTTCGTTTATAGTATCGAGGGAAACGATGGACACGTAGTATTGCATGATGGAGAAGCATACAACTGTTACTCAGCTAATACTCAGTCATAATTTGGATATATCAAAAAAGCTGAAGTGGTAAATTGGCCACCGTAACGATTACAAAAGCTGACGTTTCGAGCATTAGCCTTTTCGCTCCGACGAAGGGCTAACGCTCGAAACGTCAGCTTTTGCAATCGTTAAGGTGGCCAATTTACCACTTCAACTTTGTTGATATATCCAAATTATTTCGTTACTCCCACCGACGCAGCCCCAAACAGTTTCTTTCGAAACTATCAGCCTTTATTCATTAATACTCAGTCATTCATTTTCAGTCTTCAGTTCTCTCTTGTTCAAAAGAATCCAAAATGAAGACAACTGCCATTTTGAAACAACTTCAGCATTTTATTGAGTCTTCAGATGAAGAACACTTGCGAGCAAATTCAGTGAAGCGTGAGGCGACAGGTTTTTATTACCGTTATGGCAATTTGGGGGCTATTTATAAAAGGATCGTTGCAACAACTACGTTTCAGCTTTACTGACCACCTGTCACGATAAGGACTCAGTTTATATTCTCTTACATGGCCATCCCAATTCACTCTCTATGTGCGTTCCGCGTTTTTTGCTTCCAACTCAAATCAATACCAGGGGTCACAGCTAGTGCCGGGAGGCGAGACGAGGCACTTTCGTTGTCTAGTCTTAAATCCCTAATGTGGCGAAGTATTGTTTTTAGCAAAAAGACACTGCATTCCCCGGTGGAGTATTATCAATAAATTGTGATAGTGTTGTGTGTATGATTATAATAGTTAAGCACATTTAATAAATGAATAGATGAAACAAAATATAACTTAAAAAACAATTTTTTTTATAATAGGTTTTCGTGAGGAAATACAATGCATTCACCAATGTCCATTTTTGTATAACATTGACTCAGCCTGAAGGAATTTAGGTGAATTTGGTGAGGTCACTATAAAATACGCCATTTCCGAATTGCCTTTGGCCTCGTTTTCAAAAGGAGGACTGGCGGTAAACCATTCCTATGGAAATGGATGAATCTGCATGTGAATGAAAACTTATTATAGCATGAAAGGATGAGCACCAGGACTCGCTTTGAAAAAGAGGCTAACGGTTATTCGGAAAGGGGCTATTACAACTCACGTACTTGTATAATCTATTGACGTTCCTGTTTGCAGTGATCTTTATACAACTTTTGCTTTCTTCGTCATTCGTTTTGCTAAACCAATTCACTGAAAAACTTATCGAATTGGAAAAAAGACGAGAGATAAAACTGGGAACAGGAAACTTGAGTGCGTTAAACTATGTTATGAAGGAACGATAAATGCGAACAAATAAAGCCTATTACTGTATTCACAACTGAAAACATAAATAGATATTTTTTAATTCCCTAGTTTCCGTGTCAAATCAGCCCTTCCCTCCCTACCTGAAACAAATCATCAATGAAAATCACGAATCATGGCTTCGATTGAGATACAAATGTTAAGATGTAAATGGTAGCAGCTTTTTTCGAGATTTTCGATAACTTTTGCGTCGCACATGCATGGAAGATTTAAACGAAGCTCAGAAAAAAAATTGTCTTCAGATCATCACAATAATCTCTATAATTAATTATTTGTAGAACATTATTGGATCAAGATGTATCCCATAGCCTTAACTCCCTTGTCTCCGTTATCAGCGCCGTATCTGCCGACAGCAACGTTTCCACAGGTGTTAGAGTCATCAGGAGATCCTCCAGTACCAAAACCGATTCTTGAATCGCAGCTGTGGCAGTTATTTTGTTCATTAGCAACGATACCAATTCTTGCTTTAGAATTCATCAATGAACCCACTGCATTAAACCCCTCTTTATTACATTTCAACTGTAAAGAGGCTTGCGACCCGATAAGCGATTTCCAAGTGTCTCGACCCAATGAGGTGTGTCGGTATTTTCCGTCAGCAATCAATGAGTATAATGAGTCGGCCTCCCTCTCGACAAGAATGAATTTGTGCTGTTGGCCAATTTTAATTCCGAGACAGATTTTGGTGAAAGGCATACCCCAGTAGGTTGGTAACTTTGTCTCTTCCTCGTCAAAACCTGTCTCACCTCCAGCAAGGTTAAAGGTTTGATTGTTCTGCCAAAGGCTGGAGCCCCAGTGAAAGGTCCTCTTAAATGTGATCAAGAAACGACGTATTCAGTTTGTGGCAACATGTATGTAATAGATGAAATTACGGGAATAGACATAACCTAATCGTTTATTTAACAAATGTTAAACATCACAGGGTACACTATTGAGTTGTGGATGAACGCGAGAGGTTGCTATGCACGAAAGAAACCAAGTGCATCCAAAACTCAATAGTGTACACTGTGGCATTTACCATTTGTTTTATAACATAACATTGATACATTGTAGCAAAAGCAGTTTTCTTTTGTCTAAAAAATCTTACGTTACCAGAAAAAACAAGCGCGCCGGAAAATTAGCCTTTGCATTTGCTCACGTCTGCGGCGTACACCCATAGGCAAATGGTGGACGCTAAATTGACCAATCAGAGCGCGCGCTTTGGTTATGTTATAACACAACTTAGTGCACAACTTACAACAACTCAACCACTGAGCCTTCTCCGTTTTTCTTTCTTTTTTTTTGGCCATTTTTATTAATAAATCTGTTCTGTTAGATCTATCCGCTCACTCAAGAAAGAATTTCAATGTTGGTTACATTACCTCTTTGCCGTCAATCTTCATGACCAGGGTCCAACCACCAGCTCCGCATGGTCCAAGATCAGTTCTACTGAGGTGGCAATAGACAGGAAAACGCTGGGTTCCTATTCTCATTTGATAAGCTTTGTTTTCATTAAACCTTAAAAAAAAATGTAGCTGTTTCATTCAAGATTGTGGCCAATTTTGTTATTTTATTGGTATTTCTATTTGTTTGTTTTGTTTTTTTTAGAATGAAACTTGACAACACCTAATATGAACTTCTTGACTGAGTGCAGCAGGGTCAGACAGTTCATATGACGATAATTTTTATTTGTGGTGTTTGGCAACTGACGGCATAAATTTAGAAAATATGCTGCAAAGATGTAGTAAAAAAAAGGTAAAGTCTGTTTACGAGCCTAGTGGCCCATTAGGCCAGTGCTTAACTCCGGTTTCTGTAGTACGAAGCGACTAGGAGTATTTTTACTCTCCCCTGGATGGGATGCCAGTCCATCGCAGGGTTACCCCCAGCATTAAATTACCGGTACCCGTTTATACGCCTGGGTGAAGAGAGGCACTGTGAGAGTAGCATCTTGCCTAAGAACACAACACAATGTCCCGGCCGGGGCACGAACCCGGACCACTCGATCCGGAGTCGAGCGCACTAACCAAAAGGCCACAGCCCCTCCACGCTGCAAAGATGTATTTCTTAGAAATTCCATTCTAAGAACTTGATTAAACCTGATTAAAAGATCTCTTGGTCGGGTAAATTCATTCATTTATAGTTAAAATATTACAGAATTCTCAAATTATTTGATCCCTTAACTCCCAATATTTCATTACTAATTGCTATGATACCATGATCAATCTGATTCATATTATAAAATTATTACAGCTGATGATAATTTCCTGAGTTTCTTTAATAAAAATGGTACCGTATGCGGTGAAATCAAGTTCAAGCTTCTGGAAAGCAATACACCATACACGAATCGAAGCACTTAAATCACTTTAACCTTACGTAAAGGTATGGAAATCATGCGAAAAAAAATATCGATTTATTAATTTCGGCGGTATTACTTTCATGTGTCCCAAAATGGTGGACTGACTTAAAAGACCATTTTGACCCGACTGACTTCAATTCTATGGGTAGATCCATAATATATGGATTTTCTTCCGAATTAAAAGTGAAAGGTTGTACTCAGTGTTTTTATGTGCTTATGAAAATTCTGCTTCGAAAACCCACTTACAGATTCAAGTCGTAAATTTCCTTGCACGACGTAAATGCTGCAGAAACAAGAAGCAATAAAAGAAATTAATAATCAAATGTTAAAAAAATAGATTACTGAAACATTTATGGGTACACTGCTTTGACGAGGGATATCCAACTTTTTCTCGATGTTGTGTGAGTTTGGATTTAGTGACTAATATACTGTATTTTAACCTTCCCTCTTTCTTCCTCCTATTTAGCATGATTATAACAAGCTAAGATGAAAGTACATGTAATCCATAAAGAAAAGTGAATGGAAAACAGTCAATCTCAATTCTCAGAGGTAAGAAATGTTTTAAATCGCATATTTGACGCTTCTTAGGTGGTCCTGAAGGACAACTTCGTTAACGATTTATTATTTTGTGTTTGAACTTCATGTTTGATGTTTTTTACTATAATTACAAAATATGAAAGATGATCTTTTTTATAGGTGTTCCACCAATTTATATTAGTTACTTTATTTCTTATGTTCAGTTTCTTATACATCTATTATACCTCATTTCTTGATAGTTTTGTGGCTTACCGTTAATTTCGCAGTCCTGACCCTTAAAACCTGCAATACACAGGCAGCGATATCCTCTGCCGGTGAAACCAACTTGACAAGTCGCATTGTTTTTACATCTGTTGTTTATACATGCGTTCTATTGTCCAAGAAAACCAAAATTCGTACATGATAAAAGCTAGTTGATAAATGATTTGGAAAACCGTATAGCAAATAAATCATTTGCGTAAAATAAGCAAGGAACATACGTCGCTTTTGTGTCTAGAGAGAGATGAAGCAAATTCTGTGTTCTGATTAGCCAGGGGAAAAAAAAAAAACCCTAGCCACGTCTTCTGTGAACAAATGTAACTTAACTATGGGGTCAAATTTAAAGTTTTTAATCTAGTGCCCATGTGTACAAATAAAGAAAGAAGGAAGGAAAGCAAATTGAAAAACAAAAACAAACAAAAATCAAGCAAACTTCAAGAAAAACAACCAGACAAGTAACAACAACAAAAACATCAAAAAAGAGAAAAAAGAAAAAAAAAAAAAAAACAGAAAAAAAACTCAACTGAGGTGCGTCAGGGAAAAAAATTATAGTTGTGTCAAGGAATAATGTACTCTTAAGCATTCCCCTCGATAACAATGTTTTCGCTGATTCTCACCTCGGCTCCGTTATAAGTATAACTTGGGTTGCTCTTTAAATCGCTAGTGTACTCTATATGTGACGCATTATTCAATTCACATCTTTGCCTCCCAGCTTCACCTCGAGTCAAAAAATTAAAACTGATGCAGTTGTAATCTGAATGGCAGAGAATCCTACAGAATCGTTCGTTCGTTGCTTCAGTGACGTTAATGATGTGATTGATCAGGCGTTTGCCTTTAAGCGTATGGCCGCTTCTGAACTCCAAACTGCGACAGTCACCTAGGACAAATTTTTGCCTAATTATGAGTTGAATTAAGTATTTAACAAATATATTCAGCGATGAAAAATACCAACTCTTTGTTTGACTAGTTTTACAGTTCTAGCATTACAGAGAATGGAATATATCTCATAAATACACGTAAACTAAAGGTTGATATTTTTGGGCCATTTTCGTTTTCACTATAGTCAAACAATTACAACAAGAAGTAAATTGGATGACTTGTAAGTTGAAAACTCGGGGAGTGCTCGGACAATCTTCAATATTAAGAGTGTCATACCTTTACAAAGAAACTAAGATTATGTGAGAATCGTGAGTCTGAGCTGGATAATCTCTCTTGCAATTTAGTTTGTCGTTACCACTTATAATGTGTTCTAATCCGAAGATATTAGCTAGACCCGAGATCCGGCATTCCTCAGCATTTTGTTTCTAAGAAGAATAGCACGTCGTCTTAGTCTGTACCGTAAGTTACGGATCCTCATTAAGACTAGCTTTACACTAGAGAAGAGTTTTCCGGATTCGTGAATGTTTCCGGATTCATCAATTTTGGAGTATTCGGATTCGTAGGCATTTACACTGAAAGGATATTCGGATTCGTGACCGTTTACACACAACGATAACTCCGGGAGCATTCGAAATGGAATGGTTACCAAGCCCAGTGTTGTTTCATCGTTCGATCGACAAAGTGAAAATGCCTCCCCCAAAAAAGGCTAAAGTAGATCCAGATGAGGCAAATTTGAGTTGGACAGATGCCAAGTCATCTACTTCGTTGGCGATTAGGCTCACGTCAAATTTCCTTGCGATAATAATTTGCGTTTCCTCAGAAATACTGCGCTACACATGATAAAATCTATCGCCTGAACCTGCACCAAGATTAGGCAACCGGAGACCGCCAGCAATGTTAGCACCCCATGTTGGTTTCACCGCAAACTCAAAAGATTGCAGACGGAAATAATATCCGGATTCGAGAAAAAAAGCGTTTACACGACAAAACTTTCCGGATTCAAAAGTTATCGGATTCAAAGTTCCCATTTTAAATTCTGGATTCAAAATCTCCGGAGACACAACCAAACCGGGGAGTTTTTATTTCGGATTCGTCCACTTTCGTGTAAACGGCAAAATCAATCCGGTACTAAAACGTTTCGGATTCATCACGAATCCGGAACAATTTCCTCTAGTGTACACCTAGTCTTAATGGTCCACGCTTAGCGCTTTTACCATAACTCTATCAAGGAGATAAAACTTGGACTTAAAGTTATAGTAAAAATTCATAAACGCGGATAGTTGAAGGCCTTTATGTGTAATAGTCTCAACAATTGTTTTTTCAGTGCACGTGTCCCTATTCGAGAGAAACGTCGACAGTAAATTTATATCTAACGGAATGCCTCGAAGATCATTTGTTTTTATCAAGTGAAATATTTTGCTTTTGGCTTTGAGATTTCAATTTGTATCACATGATAGATGGAACGCAAGGTTATGTAACATACCTGAAGTGCACCTGGCTTTTAGTATCAAAGGTGAAAATAGGAAGGCAAAGCCGTACGTTAAACCCAACAAATTAGACATTGCTTACAATTTCGCCCTTAGAAAGTATCAGGAAATAGAAATCCTGTTAAGCTTTGAGATTCGGCGTCCTGTTATAGAGTATTGTTCACGGGTTAAGATTACTATTCATAAAATCCATTAATTTTGCCCATCAGCTCATCAATTACGGTAAACAATGTGTTTCGTTCTTTGCAAGTCTTTACCCTTTGTCTCCATGCAATCTTCACTCATCCGGTCATTGTTCTAGAGGGTTTTTATGACGTACAAGTGTTTCAATTAGAATATGTGTAATAGTGACTCTGCACATATTTCAAAACAACTTTAATTAGAAGTTATTTAACACTTGATTCCTAAAAAACTCGAGAACGGTGTGAAAAAGAAAAAAGAAATGATGATAAAGGTTCAACTCGAACATTTCATTTAAGTCAAGATAGCAACATTTCTATCTTCTTTCTTTTTCAACATGTTTTGATGTTTATATCTCAGTTATAAGAAGTTAACAAAACAATCTTACAGTAGAGAAAGACTACTAACACAAAACTTTCCAACTGGACTGATCGGAATTTGCTTTTTCCATTGTAAAATATCATTCAGATTGTTTTAACGACACATGGTAGTAAAACCATGAGTCTCTTTGCGAAATTCCTCACAAGTGAGGAATCAGGTTGACTTTTGCAACGTATATGAATAAATGAAGATCTATTTAAACAACTAAATAAAGGCTGATAGTTTCTAAAGAAACTGTTTGGGGCTGCGTCGGTGGGTGTAACGAAATAATTTGAATATATCAACAAAGTTGAAATGGTAAATTAGCCACCGTTACGATTATAAAAGCTGACGTTTCGAGCGTTTGCCCTTCGTCGGAGCGAAAACGTCAGCGGAGTGTATCAGGTTGACTTTTGCGACGTATATGAATAATGAAGATCTATTTAAACAACTAAATAAAGGCTGATAGTGTAGCAAGCAGGACGAGAGTAACTGGGACTAGCCCAGGTGATTATTATGGGATTAAATAAGAAGAAAAGGATCATACGAGAAAAACAAGGCCGTGAAAACGACAATCGAGGAGGACGTTACTGTTTGTTGTGTTAGTTATTTCGCGTGATTAAAGTAGTGTGTAACTATAGTTTTTAAAGAAACTGTTTGGGGCTGCGTCGGTGGGGGTAACGAAATAATTTGAATATATCAACAAACCTCGGCTCCGTTATAAGTATAACTTGGGTTGCTAAAAGCTGACGTTTCGAGCGTTAGCCCTTCGTCGGAGCGAAACGTCAGCTTTTATAATCGTAACGGTGGCCAATTTACCATTTCAACTTTGTTGATATTTTCAAATTATTTAAACAACTAGTCGGCAGGGTGGATAATAATTTGAAAAGTTATCATCCACCCTGCCGACTAGTTGAATTATTTCTTTTAATTCGTTTGTACCAAAAAATGTTCAGAATTATTGTACACAGATAAAACCTTCGGCTGGTAAAGCATTCATATGGAAACATACTTCGTCTTTGCAGAGGATCGTCGGGATTGAAATTTCAGTCCCAACACACTGTTCAACGGGAAACGTCTGATTAACCTTGTTATATGCGTCGCTGAGGTCAAAGACAAGCAATTCTGTGTATTGCCATGCTTCATGGAGAACTACTGTTTCAGTTATAATACAAAGACAAGGAGTGACGATGGAAAATTAAAATGTGAACTAAATAATGCAACACACGAAGGACACGAAAACGATCTTTGGGATGACACCGACTATGTTTACCGCGCAGCTGAGGTATTGCATAATAGAATGTGAAGATAATTATATAACTCGTTGACACTTGTCAGAAGGCTCGACGTTTAACTTTAAGGTCAGTTTAGAAGTTAAGCAAAACTTGCGATATGGATACACCTATGTGGCTCTGTACATACACTTTATTTAGCGTGGAGTGGCGAAGCGAGTCTGAAATCGATGGTGTTGTCCTCTGGATAAAGATTCGTTCTGAAGCACAAAATAGAAGGAACAGTTTTTTACATTAAAGTTGAAGTTGGTCTCTTATTCTATTTCATCTTTAAATTTTGTTTTTGCATTGGTTAGAATGCTTGTGCCAGTAGCCCTTGCAGTAATTAAAGCTACCTGTCAAACCGGTTTCACGAAGTTAAGATATCGTTGCTTATGTCCAACAGGATTTACGGTTCAGACTTATGAAAATGGTTAGAAACTTTGGTTTTTAAGTCTAAAACCCCAGACAATGCTGATAATTCTCGCTATTATGACGAAATTATTTTGTTACTGAATCAGAGTATCGAAAATAAGAAAGCTGAGTTTCACAGTTGACTGTAGCCTACAAAATGAGGCAACAAAGTATGACTGCAACTACAAAAACTATGAATTGTTTCCCTTTTCAGAAATTGACGAGTGCTCTACGGGAACTCACAATTGTAATGCTAATGCAGAATGTGTAAATACGGCTGGTTCGTACAACTGTACTTGTAGACCAGGATATTATGGATACGGAAGCAGCTGCAAATGAGGGTATCTCATGTTAGGGAAAGTGTGTGTTTTAGGTCTTCTCGAGTTAAACGAAAAGCGGCAATTCCCGCTCTCTTCATTTCTCATTTTTATGTCATGTTTTCCTTGCAGCACTGTCCTCATGTAAGGAAATTCACGACAGCAACTGGTAAGTATTCCTCTTCCCACAATTTTTATCAATACATTGTCGTAATATCATTCAAAAATTGTATTTAGGGTCAATAATTTCCGTAACTGAACCTGGGAATAGAAAAAATGACAGAGGCTTAAGACAGTTGCTGCATATCATAGGTAGAATAAACTAAACTGGGTCTCCTTCGCGAGCACAATCGAACCATTCAGTGGACTGGACGGCTCACGCATACATACATGCTATTTTCAGCGTGGAAAAACACTCTGAACGTTCGCAAGTTTACAGGTGCTTCACAACAAAAATATCAATAATGTAGAATCACCAAAGTAACTAATCAAACAAAAGATTAAATTCGAAGTTACAGCCTTTGAAATTTCAAAGGAGACGATAGCCCGTTTCTGGTCATAGACCAATCAAAAATGATTAATTCTGAGAAAGAAGAGGATCAGCAAATAAAAACTATTTTTCTAATATCAAAAATGGAGATAAAAAAGGCACTCGAATGATTCTCATTAGATTAGAGCTGGCGTCTACAAGCCTCTTAGTCACGACTAGCTAACTCTATAAATAAAGCAAAAATCTTCTATTTCAAATTCTGAGGGCAGTCTATGGACAATTTTTGGGTGTAAGGAGAACAAAGCCTACTTTTTAAATGTTGGAACCCAAAGTATTCTGGTTTTCTGTGTCCTGAACGAAACAAGCCTGGGACCATGCGGAGGAGGTGACTGGACACTGGCCACGAAGATCGATGGAGCACAGGTTGTTCTAATTATCTACTTCTGTCGGTCATACAGGTGCTACACTTTGCAACACCTGACTAATTCTCTCTTTATATCAGCTAATCCTGGGCGTTTGATTGTTCAAAAACTCTAACGATTTCCAATTTATCATTTTGCTGTTCGAATTCATTGGTGTTTGGACAAGGCTGAATTTGATAGCAAGCATAATCTAACGCAATTGAAATAAGTTCCATATTACGTATGAAAAATCGAATAGAAAATCAGAAGTTTTAATTTCATATTAACCATGTAAGTGAAAAACTCCAACTAACATCTACTTTCAACACACAATGTAACACAATGTAACAGTTCTAGAGACCTTTGTTCCGAGTGGCTACTTTTCGTGTATTACTACACGAAGTGTGCGTTTTTTCAAAATTTTTCAAATTTTTAGATTTTTGTTTGTTATCAACTGACGAGGTCGTAGACGAAACTAGTTTTGAAGTTTTCGCAGTAGTGTGTTAAAAGTAGAAGCTGGAGTTTTTCACTTACATGGTTGATATGGCATTTTATTATATAGCTGTGTCCCACAAGGACTGGAAACTACCGAATTCACGAATTTGATTGGCTGAAATCAATATTGAAAGCGGTCTAGATTTTCCCATCTAGACCGGCATCTAGACCGGTCATCTAGGAAAAAAGGTACAAAGAATATAAAAAATTGGCATATAAGACACAGACATATAATAAACATCATATTAACCCAGCTAGGTRGGTCTGTATGGGAGAATCTTGACCTCGGTCGCTGGTACAGACCTCACTGCGTTCGGTCTGTACTGGCGACCTCGGTCAAGATTCTCCCATACAGACCTCCCGCTCGGTTAATAAGAACTAAAAGTAATACTTTCTTGGCTTCGATAAGTAGAATTTCACAACGAAGTTTTAATTATAAATTGCTTTTTCAAACCATTGATTAGAATTCCAATCACTAGAGAGAAGTAACTCCTAGGCTTCTGAATATATCCATAATGTTTGGAAAAAACGGTTGCAATTTACAGCCAAAAAAGGCTAAAGAAATCTCGTTTATTTCTGAATGAAATCCTGTAATTGTGTTTAATTTGATGAAGAAAGAAGCTAAATAATCTGTCCCCATCCAAGTGTTTAAATCACGTGTTTTCATATTATAGCAAACATTTCAATATAGTTCCTCTTTATGGAACAACATAACTGTATTCAATATCATGGGAGGTGAGACAAGATTTGACGAAAAAGAGACAAAGTTACCCACTTATTGGGAGACTCCCTTTTCGAAGATTTGTCTGGGCATGAAGATCCCAAGTGAACAAACCGCGCATTTCATTGCTATAAACCAGTCGGCTGACTCTCTACACTCTTTGATCGCCGACCAGCAATTCCGTCCCACATCACTGAGTGTCGCTAAATGGAAATCACTGCTTGGTCCCCAAGGCTCTCTTCAGCCAGGTTGTAGAAAGGAAGGGTTCAATGTAATTTGCGACAGTCAAAGCCACGCAAAAGCAAGAAATGTCATCGTTGGTAACAAGGAGGCCGATTGTAATACTTGTGATTCCAGAATCGGGTTTGGCACGACCGGTCAGCATGATTCAACTAACACGTGTGGTAATGAGGCGGTCATCTTCGGAGATAATGGTGACAAGCATATCAAAGCCATGGGATACATTTTTATTCAATGAAACATAACCATACGTATATCCTTTTCTCTTGTAAAATGTTATCAGTAGCTATAAACAATTTTCAAGATATCTTGTTAATACTTTTGAGCTGAATATGCTATGCTCTGTAATTAAAATGTATCAGTCCAAGTAAACGACTAAACTTGTATTAGGAAAATTTAAAGCCATATAAATTGCTGAGTTTTTAAGGAGAAAATACGTTTACGAGCATGTGAAAGAAGTTATGAGTAAGTATATGCACAGGACAAAGTGTGATAATTCTCTTATTCTTGAATCTCGAAGAACAGGGAGAACTAGGCAAACAAGACACGTTGGTAAAATTTGTGGATTTAAAGGAATGCAGTGAAATGCAGAAGAAAACGGAATGGTTGTTACTCGGAAATACGAAGGTTCTATAAATGGTGAAGACAATCTGGTCATTTTGGAGCAAGGAAGCAATCTGAAGGACAAAAATGTACAATTTAGATCAGAAAACAAAACAAAACAAAACAAAAAACAAAACAAATCAAAACAAACAAAACGAATGAAAAGAGGCGGTCGAAATTTTAATTTCAGGACTAACATTAAAGGCTCAATTTCTTTGATGAGTTGTTGTATATAATACACGGTTTTTTTTGTTGGAAGATTTTAGTCAGTCCTGCTTGTTTGGATTTGATCCCATAACCTCTTTCTTTACCGGCTCGGTATTAAAAAAATTTCAATGTGAACCTCAGCAAACTTCTCCATCAACTCTGAGTCTATGTCAACTTGCAGTTTTGTGTTTTTTTTAGCTTTTGTTTTGTTTTTGTTTTTTTTGCATTTTAAAACAAAATAACTTTGCTGAATCAGTTTTCTACCTTTTTGCTCTAATCATGATCATAATAATAATAAT